TAATAGTAAAACAATAATATCAATAATAATAATAATAATAAAATAATTATAACAAAACAATAATAACATCAATAATAATAATAGTAATAGCAGTAGTAAAACCAATAGCAATAGCAATAGTACTAATCTACCCTAGTTTAAAAAATTCAACCCTCTTCAACCTAAATATACCTTCAGTTTGTAATAATTTTCCACCTCCAACTATGAAGGCATCCTCAACCCATTGGACCCAATCATGAAAAAATCTGGTGGAGGGCCATATGATGGGAATTGGCCATCATGGAAAACTCCATGCCTGCACAAAACTCTTGCAGGAAGATCATACTCAGTGGGCACTTAGGAAGGGGGTCTTGCATGTTTTTACAGAAGTAAACAAGGATGGCATGTGAGAGTCATGCCTGGAAGAGTACAAGTTCCAGGGAGGACAGTTTTTTATGCTTAGGATCCTTTTCCTGCCCACAGTGATCAGTGGCACTGGGTGTATTACAAAAAATCGAACAATTAAAAATTATTAAATGTTACTTATTCTTATTGTTATCGCACAGAGTTGCAGACTACCCAGATAGTATGGAATCTACTCCACTACAAAGTCTATTTTCTTGTTGATACAGTACAACAAATGACAATATGTACCTACCAAAATAGCATAAAATGCTTATACAGAATAGCAGTGCAAAGATGATGTCTTGATGTCACAGCACAAGACCTAAAGCTCAGACACCCAAAAGAGTTGCCACTCAAGTAAGCCTAATGCCAGGATTTTGGTCCATTGGCACCAAGATCCAACAGGTTACCAAAATCTAGTAAAAATCTCTCTTCAATCTAATCTAGCCCCTGTTCAATCCTTCCCAAAAACCTATTCATTTACCCTGGTTTCCTACTATTCTTCATGATCTATCCTGACCAAGCACCATGGGACTGATCCATCTTCATCGATTTTTTATCTACCATGAAACCTAGAATAATCTTGGCTTATTGTCACCTACACTTAAAGTCTATTCTTTATCTTCATCAACTTTATTCTACTTCAAAAATCCCCTTTTTCTATTGCATTACTTCTATAACCCAGTCTTTCCCATGCCTGAACTTAGAAGCATTAAATACTGGATTTGTAGTGGACAACCTCAGCCTTCAGCCAGATCATTGGCTGATGCTCACAGGATTAGAAAGTCCTTCTTTAGTCTTTATACATCTTACGTTAAAATGTGGTTACTTTGCGGTCAATGGGTTAGCCCCTCAGCTCTGCTATCCCCCAGCCTGTGTATCCCTTCATCAACAGGTTTTTCAAGTTTCACCATGACAAATTATGTTTCTAATATTGATTTTCATTTTGATTTTATCTTTGAGCTTTGTTTTACATACGAGAATGTGCATATTTCACATTACGTTTTACATACGAGAATGTGCATATTTCACATTACGTATTAAATACATACCACACAGCAGAGCATCTAAGCTGAAAAAGTTACAGCAGTTACCCCTCACGTATGTGTGAAAATGAGAAAAAATAGATCAATAAAACCTAGGTATAACAATAAAACATTTTAGTCATCTCCATTATAAAAACATATTTTCATGTGTATTAATAATAACTGGACATTAAGAAACCAAGTGACAATTGTGTATTATGCTCAGCCAGGGGCAACATGGAAGAGGAGAGAAGGAGGATTTGGCTGAACAAAACCAAGCCATACCGTACCAGAAATACATTTCACAATCACTTGGCCTATGTTCCCTTCACAACTAAAAAGCACAAAACTTGCCAGATACCATGTTTCTTTTTGTTTTGTTTTGTTTTCTCTTTGTGCTGACACTTCATGTTTTGCATGCAGGAAAACAGATGTGGGAAACACCCTGCCAAATTTTGCGAATTGTGCAAGATGATATCACGAATATGGTAAACAGGAAGCTACAAAAGAAAAGCAGCAAACAATGATCCTAACCAACTGGCCTTTTAGGGCTAAATTACTCTAATTTACTTATCTATTAAAGTGCACTACCAAACATATATCTAACCTTAAATCCTCTTTTCCAACTCATTATATGTCTATAATATACTTTCCAAATAATATATCGCTAAAATCTGCTTATCAACTTAGGCTACCAAAAAGACTGAATATACTCGTAAAATCTGTTTATTTACATATCTCTAAGACTATGCCAGGAGTTCTCAAACTGGGGGTAATGAAGTCCTTTCTGGGGGGTTATGTAAATAATAATGTTAATACATATATTAATGAATAAATAATATATATGTGAATAAACTTCCATATTACTGATAACTAAACCATTTACATCTGATGAGGAGATGACTGAGAGGAACACAGTAAAGAAGGATAAAATCTTGGAAGTAGAGTATCCTTAGGGTAAAGAAATATCCTTTTTTCTCACATACAACTCTAAATTTACTCATCTATTTTGCCTCTACTTAGTGATTCGAGGCTAGCTTCCCGGTTTTAGTTTGTATCAATATGTAAGCCAGGAACCAGATGAAAGATGCAAATGCTGATATGCAATGAGCGTAGTCCTCTAGAAATTCTCACATTGACAGCTTATTGAAGAACAAACAATTCCCTGTTTTCCATTGATGATTCAGTAATAATAATAATGTATATTTCATATTATTTATCAAAGAAGTAATGATTCAATTCCAATCAGTAACAAAAGAAACAATGCTTTAATTTTGACATTCTATTAAGTGAATAATGTTTAAATTCTTTACTTCTTTAGTAAAATTTATTTCTATTATATAAACTGACTTAAAAATTAAGCATTCCAACATCTTTTTTTTTTAATTCAATATCACATAAGTGAAGATGAATGAGGTCAGAGCAATAATGATTCCTCACAACATTGCCAGGTGTAAAAACAGCAAAAAGTTAAGAGAACCATTTAACAACTTACTATAGACCTAGCTAGCATCTACTTCCCAATTTAATACACCAACTTCATAAATCGCTGAAATCAATCCATTTACCAACTTAACCTCTTTATGCCCATCTGCCATCACAAAACATTAGAATTTTCCATTTCTAATCATCAGCAGCAAATAGATTGGTTCCTGGTGCTCTGGGAAACCTTCCACCAGTATACTGTTTCAAGGAGCTACTGGGCCCAGGGAGACTTCTATTTATCTTCACTAATTCTGCCTCCTCCATTAGATACATTGAGCCATGAACATTCTCGCAATTCATGATGAACCGTCCCTTTTTTTTTTTTTTAGGAATTTAACTGTCAGCAGGCTGATAAGCAATGAAAATCTATTTACTAACACATTATTCCCTTAAAACTTACTTATTATTATTATTATTATTATTATTATTATTATTATTATTATTATTATTATTATTATTATTATTTATTATTATTATTATTATTATTATTATTATATTATTATTATTATTATTATTATTATTATTATTATATTAATTATTAATTATTATTATTATTATTATAATAATAATAATAATAATAATATAATAATAATAATATAATAATAATCAATACAATAATAATAATAGTAATAATAATAATAATAATAATAAATGATAAAAATAATAAAAATAATAAAAATAATAATAAATGCCAATTATAACAATAATAATACCAATGCCAATAATAATAATAATAATAATAATAATAATAATAATAATAATAATAATAATAATAATAATAATAATAATAATAATAATAATAATAATAATAATAATAATAAAAATAACAATAATACCAATGCCAATAATAACAACAATACTAATAATATCAACAACAATAATAAAAATAATAACAATTTCAATAATAGCAGTTCAAGTAATCATGATTTCTACTTCAAAAGATCCTACTTTCTGTTTTGCCAACAATATTACAACAACATACAACACATTCAGCAATGACTAATAATACCTGCTGCTTTGATACCAAGTATCTAAGCATCTGTGAATACCTTAATAACCAGAAAAATAATTATTTATAGCTAATGCCATAAAATGTTAAATGTTCAAAATAAAAATCACTTGACATGATAATCTAATTTTACTCAAATTCATAACTCCAAATTTTTAGCTTTTTCATTAGATATCTTTACTATTGCCATTATTTCATTACAAATTAGAAAAAAAACAAACTGTATGATTATGCACAACAGTCACTTTCTTAACAATGTCAAGGTGATGAAGTTCACAACCACATACAGAAATAATCAATAAAAATCCAATTTAATGTTCTTTGTTCACTTTCATGTGTTGTCTCCCATGAAATTCACACATTTTTTGAATCATAGTGATTTTATAACATGTTCCCTAAAATTCACAAGATGACTGAATGACTCAACTTGTTAATATCAGGACCCCAGTCCACATTGGTTTCAATATATAATTTTTCTTTACATGTATAAGGCTCCACAAGCACTCAGTAACCAACGAGTCAATTACTAGGTCTAGTATTAGGGGGAAAAAAAATATTTGAAAGTTCAGGAAATGGGATAGAAAAGAAAAGGTGAGGTCAGATAGGTCTACTAACTGAGCTTTTGATGATTAAAAGCTTGTAAAGCCATCTATGTGTAAATAAAATTCACAATCAAAACTTTAGTGGAAAGTTCATGTACCCAACACCAATGGATTAAGTGCTTACTGTAAATAACATTAGAAGTTGTCATTATAATAAAACTATTGCCTAAATAAGCAACTATACATTCTTCCACTCAACTTCAAAGTAGTTTTGCAGTATTCTCATATCATTTTGAAGTGATCTATTGCAATTCAAAAACAATAATTTCCATTCAGTAGCATCTTAAAAACTAAGAATTCCATTGCCATGCCACCAGCATAAATGATGAAAATCTAATATCATTTCTTTTATTCCAATAAACAAAAAGAGAAAAGGCAATTCACTTTCTGAAATAACTAGTAAATTTGGCAATTTGCAAAGAGGTGAAGTATAACACCTAGCATCCTCTATTTTCAAAACAATCCATACAAAAACATAATCTGTGACCTACTTACATTTAATAATTTCCACAACTTCTTTATGGTTGACTTGTGACACCAGATTACCATTTACTTTGATGATGGAGTCTCCTTTCTTAACCCCTGCTAGTGCCGCAGGCCCTCCTGAAATAAAAACAAAGCTATCAGAGTCCTATTCTAGTATCAATAAATCCATCTTGTATACATTTTTTAAAAACACATTATCTTGTAACAATGTGTTTACCTACACTTCTAAAAGTTGTAAATGTTTAAAGTGAATCA